TGACGGCAACACGGACAAAAGTCTGTGAAATTATTGAAACACTATGGAGATAAAGAGTTGAAGGAAGTTCAGTGAGTAGCCTGCAAGTGATGCGAAGAACGCATTTAAGAGGATTTTCGCTTATGTGAAAAGGTGCCTGAAGGCTGCAGCTAACCTTACAGTGCTGAATCGCTCGCACTGAGTGTGCGTCCATGTTGCTGGCGCAACTCGTTTCCATTTCGCGAATGACCAGATGCCTGCAACAAGTTCCACGATCAACGGTCGATGGTGGAGAACACAAGGTATCTGCCTTGAAAACCGGACGTCACCGGTTCGAGCCTGCGTAGGAGACCGCGCGACTCTCGCAGTATCCTTAGCTCACGCACGACTGGTGGTGGTAGTGTGGCAACGAAGCGTAGATACGGCGTACCGGTGTACTGCTTGTCTCCTATCTCTCGATATGTACCGCGCTTAATGAATTCTGCAGTGTGGTTAGGGCTGTTATAGAGGTGCGTTAACTACTCGTACATTTTGATGGCACCTAGCATGTCAGACCCGATAGCTTTCAATGACTAATTCTAAAATCATCATCCTCCATCAGTTCACCTTCTGTGACAGACCTACCATCCGATCTGTATGGCAATTATTTTGGCTAAGGTAAAAGATCTGCTGTATCTGATCGAATCAAGAAATTTGACACCTGCACCGCACCGCTTTGCTAATGATTCACCGGTCTGCTCTTGACAAGGTACTAATGATTGCAAGCGATGAACCAAGGGAAGCATGTTGATGTCATGTACATCGATTTCAGGAAAGTCCTCGTTCACAGGTAGAGGGTTGACGGATCACGATATCAGTGGGTCCGTGAGATTCCCGTTGGATGAAAGTAGAGGGCGCAGACTGCCATGTGGCCGAATGGTATAACCCCGTCAGTGGCACAGTTCTGCGATCCAGTTTCTGCATCAACGATCTATTTCCGCTTCTCCGGTCGCCATGTGCTTTGTTTGTGGACGAGAAATGAGTAAGCAGTACGGATATGGCCGCATAAGCAACACCCTAACCACCTCTCCATTCCGGCCCATGAAGCTTTCGGTCAGCTAAAGCAAGTAGTGGGGAGAAGTAGGGATGTTAGAACTTACGTCCAGGCGGCCAACTGCTCCATCCTACGTCTTCGGTCAAAGATGTAGTCCGTGGACAACATGAACAGAGTATGCTCTAATGGACTGTGCAAGTCTTGGGCGCTTGAATGCGGCTTCGACAATTGGTCAGAAGAAGCTGTCAGTCGCCGCTTCCCCTCATTCATATTGAAAAATGCTAGTGTATGGCTCGTTCGTCTGTTGCACTATCACCTGGAGGGAGCATAGAACGGGATCAACATGTCCCTAACAGGCTCAACTCCGGTTGACGAGTTGAACTGTACAAAGACAAATGGTATCATCGAGTACGAGTCGACCTCATCATAGTCTATTGCATTTTACACTGCTGAGAGCGCTGCTCCACCGCGCATCATCTGCGGGCAAGCTTGTTGTACCGGGTATGAAGCGAATCTCTCGTTCTTTGTGCTTTGAGAAGTGATTAGTGAATGCCTTGGACAATTCGCGAAACATCTAGTTGCAAATGGAAACACTTTTGAATGCACATCTCGTAAAAGATAAATGCGGAGAACTTTCGCGCGTTCAATATCGTACACTCGTGAGGTAATCTCAAGCAATAGCATGAGAAGCAACTAAAACATCGGATAAACAGGCGATTGTTTCAAACATTTTCGATCGAATTTCGATGAACTGGTACAGAGGTTGCTTTTGTTTGGTACAGGTACATACTATTCGGTACTCAGCCAAGAACAGGTTCGCCTACCAGGTCGCAATATGTAGGCGGGTTACACAATTCCGTACGCCAAGAATAAGGTAGCAGAAATGGAAGACCCCAGACGGGCACAGGCACAGTCAATGGTTCGAGCTAGGTAGCCAACACAAAAGTCGAAATTGGAGAAACAAACGTCAAAAATCAGATGCTACAGAAGGTAGTAATAATTGCCGGTTCTTGGGATAAAAGTGGAAAAGATAGGGCAAGATTTCTCAAAATACTGGCCCGGTAGAAACCAGCCAGCAGGAGAGATGAGATTTATCCCATATCGCAAGTAGTGATAGCGAAAACGAGAATCAGAGGGCAAAACGCTGTGCAACGTGTTAACCACAAGTGGCAGCCTAGGTATTTCATGGATCAGAATAAACGAAGGAAACAACGATACTGACAGAAGCTCAGTGAAAATCCTTGAGTCGCACTGTAGCGGATCAATGCTGAAGCGACCGCAACTAATAGCAAACAAAGTGGACAAGCTCAGAAATTTCTCTGAACTTAACACGTGGAAAAGGTTCATCGCCAGGACATTTTGTGGAAAGTGTGGGACGGGGCTGAGCATTGCGATAATGGCAAGCTACGAGCTGCGTGTAGTTCGATTTGGTAGCCTTAGTACATGAACCCATATGCCTTGCACCCTAGAAGTGCAAAGTCCTTCTCCACGATTGGTAGGGACTCACCCCTGCGCTGACGCTTAGTGAGGATCAGCAAAAATTCGTCGATAAATTCAAGTATCTAGGCAGCTATAGCAAGGCCAGTGTAATGGAAGATGATGTCACAAATCGCATAGTAAAAGCTCGAGACGCTTTTGTCAATCTTCACCGTCTGTGGCGCCGGCGCGACATCACTCTCGCCCTGAAGGGTAGAGTTAACAACGCAGCCATCCGTTCAACCTTATTGTATGCTTGTGAAACCTGGCCCCTTAGATCAGCCGACATGAAGAGGCCGGTCACGTTCGATCATCGCTGCCTTCGCAGCTAAGCTCATGTCTGGTGGGAGCACAACGTGAGCAATGAGGGTGTTCGGCGTCGTGCATTTGACGCAAGTGAATCGCTCAACACCATTATATCACGTACCAGTATCTGATGCCTGGACCACGTGTTGCGCATGCCAGCACACTAGACTCCCGCGTCGTGTGTTGTTTGCGTGTCGGGGGTCTGAAGAAAAGAGGAGGGGACGCCGAGAGATGACTTGATCTAGAGCAGGGGCGTCCAAAAAACGGCCCGCGGGCCAAACGCGCCTCGCGTTAACATTTCAACTGGTCCGCGATCTCATCATGAAATAATAAATTCAAACTTGGATTTTTTACGTGCCGATGACATTAAATAGATTACAAAAGTGTAAGGACATGAGGACTGAATATGGCTCGCCATATTTTTATCTCACAAAATGTGGCCTGCTTTGCAAAAAGTTCGGATACCTTTAGTCTACAGAAATGAAATTCTTCATTTCGAAGTTGGCGTCGTTTGGTGTTTCCCGACTGTCTGGCTGGGGTCCGAGGAAAGATGAACACGTCCGGTTGGAGACACTAGTTAACATCGCAAACAGCCGACCTCAGTGGCATTTGTGCTGTGAGTTGGTATTTCGCTCCCCATCTCGCTTATCCCCCTTCTCCAACCTCGATCTCTCTCTTGATGCACGATATGTTACTATGTATTTTGTTGCCTGCTTTGCTGCATTCTAGTGTTCAGTAGCTTGCTTTTTCGTATGTATTATCATTATGTATCGGGGCACAATAGTTGAAGTGTGTTTCGCCCCTTCAGCTAATGATGATTATGAGGATGGAGCAATCAGCAGGCAGAGCACAATCGGACATAAAGGTAGGAGCGCAGACGAATAAAGAGCAGGACAAACATGCGGAGAAGTGTCACTGATGTACAAATGCTGAAAAATAGCCCTTGTCAATCCGCTCTTGACTTTTGTGCCATCCGGCAGTAGTAGTGAGCGAGACAAAAAGCAGAGAGAGTTGGTATTACAACTAACAGCTCCTACTTGAAGATAACTGGTAGGAAGTTAGAACAATGGTCTTAATATCCAGCAGGGTCTAACACCTAGTTATTGCGTCAGAGGTGGATCTCTACACTTAGTTAGTACAACGAAGTGCACCAAATGAAATAATGAGACATCACAAAGCCGGTCAAAGAAAGTTCAAAAACATATGTGCTCTATAACTGTCGGTTATTGAGAGGTCTGATACTGAATCAACACAAGATCTAAAAAGGGTTCAGATTGCGTCCAATGTAATGCCATACAAAGATAGGCTGACATTTGATGTAGTAAGGCAAAAGGATAGAGCAAAACCAGCTATTTCTGGAAAACTCTCAGTGGCAAAATAAACGCGGGACAAGTGACCGTGATTCAAATTCCGAAAGTTATAGCCCAATTAGCATATACATTTCAGTTCTATGCGCGTGGTAAGCTTAAGTGCAATCGATGGATGGAGTTCCAGAGGTGGGGTTGAGTGGCCAACAGGTAGGGCCTGGGTGATGAACATCCGATGGCAGAAACAATATGTCAATGGCGGAAATTGAAGGTCGTCAGTATGTACGAACAGCCATCATCATTATCAATACATGTTAGCTGCTACTGTGCCGCAATACAAAAACAGTAGACACACTGAGTGTGCTCAATCCAGCATAAACCCACGTGATGTCGAAAAAGATCAGTGTAAATCACCCAGTAGCACAACAGCTAAGGGAAGCAATATGCAACATCAGTGCAGCTAACTGAGCTGTGTGCTGGTTAAATATACTGTTTTGCCAGTAAACGGGTAAGCGAAGTAGAGTCAGTAAACATTAAAACCGATCAGTTTAATTCATAGAACTACCGAGATTTTAATTTAGTAATGAATTAGATGATGTTCAAAAAGCGTACGAACAATGAACGCGGTCCCTGTACACAAACATAACCTTAGCTACATATAGTAAGAGCGGTGTATCTGCTCTTGTCTTGCGGTGATAGTGCGAATAGTCCAAGAGACCTACACCCAATACTCCTAGCGACGTATTTGTTCGGTTTGTGACTACGTGAAGACGAAAGAAAGGTACACAGCAGTGGTGTATTGGTGAGAAAACACCCAGCCGTACACGAGACAGGGATTGACAAATCGAGTGTGAAAAACGCCAGTTGTCTAATTCTCTATGAGCAAACCTGCAACTAACCTGGACAGTTGGGTAAACAATGAAGACAACTGGCCCACGTTGATTTCCGGTCTGAAACAAATGGAAGATGGTAAGAAGTAATCGGGTCCAGTATTACAAGAAGATGTGCATGAGCAACAAAAATGCAGCAAACGAAGGTGGCTGGGAACCCGACGTCACTTCGGGATAACCGTGTACACCCCATCACTACTGGAGTTGACCACACGCCTGAGTCATATAAAAATGACTCATGATAGATTCCACTCGACATTCTAGACGTCCCAGATAGACTCCATTTCAACAAGCGATTGCCCTGCGAGCAACAAAGATCGTCACACCTCGTGCATCCATAATGGTAAAAGTTAGCAACGAAAAACAAAGAAACAAAATGGAAAGTGTAGCAAACTAGAAGCGTGAAGGAAGGGAAACGCGTCGAGTGGAATGATCAATAAATGAGAAGGCGAAAATAGCAGCATTGATTCGTTCACGACGACAGGTCAGTGTGGTTCAACAATCACTGCTACGATCTATTCGGTAGCTCGCGTCTAATGTCTTTCAACCGATTTGTTATGCGTTATTATTGCGCAAGTCCATGGTTCTATGGTTGCTTTATCAAACAAAGATGACTCCACAAAAAGTGGTCGATGGGCACACAGAGACCGTAACAAGATCAGTGCAAGCCACTTGCACCTATTAGACAGCTTGATGAGGTGACAGATACGCTATGCAAAGCCAAACTGTGGCGTGAAAGCGCCGGAATCGAAACAGTTCAGGAAATAATTGTTGACAGTACAACATCACCGTCCATACGCTGCTATTTCAGTTCGGTTCAGTTGAACAACTATGGTCTGAGTGCCGAAGTGCGGTGGATTCAGTTGATAGGAAACACATCTCAAGAATAATAATAAATAACAACGGTAGGATAGTGAGATTGGGTGCGAATAGAATGTGAAGAAAATAGAGGCAAGAGGGAAATATGACAGATTGATCACGACCAGATCTCTCAGTCAATTCTTCCAAGCATCTGACTGACAAACTTGATGCATTCAGGGCGTATAATGCACGCCGAGGAAGCCGATCAACGGGCATAAGGAGGACATGGCCTAGTCAATGTAAGCAATTAAGGTTAAGCAAACACCTCAGTGAGGCATCAGAAGGCTTGGTGCCGAAAACCAACAAGCGGATCTCAGCAGTGCTCACTAGAGGTAAGCAATACTCTGCAAGCACCGGTGAGCAAACATGGCCAAGCGTTTAATGTCTTCGCCGCTAACTAGCCAGGTCTCTGGTCCATACAGTAACACCGGTCTTACCGTAGCGTTTTACACTCTACCTTTCATTGACATGCTGATATTCCACTGCCTCCATATATGGTTGGCTCTGGAAAGTCTTACTGAAACCCGTAGCAACTTCCTCAGTGATGTGACCAGAAGAAGTGACATAGCTACGAAGTTAAGTAAGCCGATCCACCACTTCCAGTGGTTATTCGGTGTTAGCTAGAACCGGAGGTGTTTCGGTCTAGTCCTGCAGCAGTTATTTGTAGTTTGAAGAGGAAAAGCACATGCAACACATGCCGAAGCGTGCGGCGCTACACGTCAGTCTATCCAATAGTGTTTGCATAGCCAATGCGTCAGACCCAAGAAGAGTTATGTCATGCGCATACTCCAGGTTTGTCAGTCGATCATCTGGCAGAACTTCGAATCCGGGAATCTGTAAGAATCGAGTCACTCATGATCATTTCGATAACAGTTGAAGAGGAAAGGAGATATAGGACAATCCTAGCGAACACTAGTTGTTGTGGAGAACTCGGGAGACACTTTCTCGTGAACTCTTACATAGTCACGGGTATCACGGTTGAGAGACTTAAGAATGGAAAAGAATCTAGGCGGCACGCCCTTCATGGGTAGGCATTGCCACAAGCTGACGCGGTCTACAAAGTCGAAGGCGCCACTCAAGTCAAGGAAATCCACCGTAGTCGCTCGTCTCTGATCTAATACTCGGCGAAGAGTAAATATGTAGTCCATACAACCATGATCAGGGTAGGAGCCAGCCTGACGTTCAATGATTCGGTCCTTACGGTGAGCAGTAAGTAGTAGGAGGATGATACCCGTGAGAAGTTTGAAGGTAATGAAAACAAGGCTGAGGCCCCAGTGATTTTCCAACAAACAGAGCTGGCCCTTCTTGAAGATGGGCACGACAGTTGATAGTCGCCAGTCTTAAGGTACCTCTTCAGTGTCCTAAATCGTGTCAAATAACGCAGCCAGTCTAGTCAACAAAGGTCACCATCTTTTAGCAAAGATAGAGGAAGGGCGTCGGGTCAAAAAAAACTTCATACGAAATCTCCTCTAAAGTGGGGGGGGTGTCACAATAAATTTAAATATGACCTCAAGTGAGCAGGTAAGTGGCAATATTGCAGCAAATCTGCTGATCTACCATTCGAAATGTTTCGCCTAAGGAGTCAGCTGACGAAGCTAAGAATTGATCAAGTGTCCACATTTCCCAGCTATTGTATCACTAACTGATGGCTCTCTCGGACCCGTGTTCCGGATGAACTGGAATAGCACTCGGCTGTTACCAATAGCACTGGCTTCTTCCATCTCACGAGCTCTTGCGATCCAACAACGTTCCTCGTCAATTCGAAGACTCCTTATCAGATGTCGTTTCAGAGAGTTACAGACACACTGAAACAGAGTCCATTAAAACCAGTTTAGGTGCTTCGATCAAACTGACCAATGCCTCAGAGATACATTCACGATGTCTCAAGTTGGGTGCACCGCATGCGTCAAAGGCACTCTTCATGGCACAGTTGGGACGATCCCGGTCAGCGTTCAGCTCACTAACCTCATCCGTCACTGATAATTGGTGGGTTAATCCGTTATGATCTTGTTAAACTGCAGACTGCGAGTTCAACTTATAGGTAAAAAAAGGTTAGAAGAAACGCACTTTTTGAAGCGAGAAGAGTGGTAAGCGTCCGCACACTAGAGTATGGTTGAGATCCAGGCACGTGTACTAAATTCACCGACAGTCTTAGACTGATGTGGGCCATGTACATCTGATGGCATTATGGTCAATTTGGGTATAGGTCATTGAAGAATTCGGTGGGCGTCAGGTAACACGGTGTGACCGTTTGTGCTGAAAAAGTGTTGCTAATATATATATTGTGGTTGGTGCACAGTTGCAGGAATAGATCACCATTGTCTGTTCGGCGTGCATCGAGCCGGAAGCCCCATCACAGGATTCAAACAACAATCACGATGTCAGTATTGTGCCTCAGGCGGAAAAAAGATAAAACATGGTGATAGAAATCGTATTTGATAACCTTCGAATCGCAGCCAGTAGGAGTGATGAAAAGGTAGTTTCTCTTCATACGGCGCTCAATAGAGGTTCGAGGTCCAACCGCACACATGCGACTGTTCACTGGTATCCAGTCGAGTAGATTACCTTCAGAGTGTCTGCTGAGAACGATAGTAACACCATAAATGCCCTGTCACTGACTCAGTATCACCAGACGCGAAGAGTTTAGTTATTGTCAGTAGATTCAGAACAAAAAAGTCGAAGATTCGTCACAATGCTGTTATCTTGTAAGCGCGTTACGGAAACACAGTATAGAACAATATTAAGAGTGAAGAGTGAGAGTCAGTACTGCCTTTTGGCCAATCTGACCTACAGTGCGCACGTCAAAAGAAACAATACTCTGAAAAATGTGAAAAAATACTCTAGGTTCGATGGAAGAGTTACATGTATCGTTGGCAGCAGCTGCGAGATCAGCGGCAGTCTCTTGTTCAATAGACTGGGAAGAAGAGAGTGGCGAGGGGAGAGCAAAATAGGAGGGAGTAGCATAGACGGAGTCGATATGGCAAATGATACTCCCCAGCTGCCCATTTCGAGAGAGAGGTATTGTTCAAGGTGTCCTACCTCTAGCCTTTGACTCAACAGTCTGACCCACAGGGCAGTGGGATAAATGGAGGTTCGCGTGAGGGGCTCCACCCAGAGATTTGGGCTCAATAGCCTGACTCACAAGACAGTGGAGAACAAGTCCAACTACGGGGTGCGACCCGTTGGGATCTGCACGAGGCCTGTACACATAGCCTTTGAAGATTCAAAACAATGTACATATGTTAGACGATCATATTATGTTACGCACCTGCGATCACGACCAGCCGCAGGTGGGAGCTGGCGGGATTGCACAAATTTGGCTTGGGGCTGTCTGGCTTGAGGCTGGCGGTAGCAATCCGTTAAGCATTGGAAGCTGGCTCTACCACTGTCAGAGACAATGCGTGACGCTTGTGCTCTACGCCAATCCAGCTGAAAACTTATAACCAGTAGATCTGTTGTCTCGCATGGCTAGGATTTTTAAGGAAGAGGGGTATCGACCTACCCCTAACCTACGAAGATTGGATTGTGAAACTGAGTTAGTCTGCCACCTAACCATTGACCTGTCTGGTATGAATGGATCTGAAGGCCCTTGGAAAGTGCCACCCACCCTAGGTCAGTGGATCACGGAGGTAGGGAAAGCGTCGCGCCACGTCAAGATTCAGTCTCGTTGCGATGGAGTAGCTCTCCCGGGGCCCGGGGCCAAGTGGCACCACACAGTATAGCACAATGGGTCAGAGGTACGCAAGCCGCCGTACCACGTTAGGGTGAAGTTTCGCTGCCACGGAACCTCGTTGCGACGGAACCAAGGTTGTACGTGGGCTGAGATACTGCCAGAGCGCCCAGATCTAGACAGGAGGATGATTGAGTTTCCAAACAAAGCCATCGGATCAAACGTGTCTCCGCAACCTAGCTGCGAAGTGGCAACGATTTTGCTTTGCATAAATTGACGCTATTCCATTTCCATCTCCTGACCTGGAGGACCAGGAGGCTGAGGTTATCCAGCCTCTAACATATTCAGTAAGGTAAAATAGTGAGTCCCGTTCAACCATTTCGTTAAAGAAATGGGAATACATAGGTTGCCACATTTTGATTGTTACCTTCAGTCACAAACATAACACAAGCAGAAACGCATGCACTGCTATTGTGATATTATTCCCCTTTGCATACTTGTCGTTGTCACTACCCCTCTAGTATCCATG